TCACATGATCAGTGTCACCACTGTGGCCGGGGCCACTGCAGTTCACTCTCTTCTTTATAGTTATCTAGAGTCCTATCAAAATTATGTCATGGTGTGTATGTGTGTGTGTGTGAGAAGGAGAGAAAGAGAGAGTGAGATTGATTGTATGCATGAGGGGCGGTGTCAAGGAAAAGGAAGGAATGGAGATAGCAAGGACTAAAACTGGAAATGAAGAAAGACAAAAGATATGAATCACAAACTGCAAATCTACCCTTGGATAGCAACACTTTGTGTGTGTTTATGAATTCAGTCCCTGTTTATTGACTGGAGAGAGCCCAAGTAAGTTTTGTAAGAGTATCCAATTATCAGAAAACTCCTAAGCCTGTCCCAGTCTCACCCCATGTTCTTTCAACTTCCTTGCACCTGGGTTGGTGCTCTAAGCTTATGACGGGGGGATTAGATAGCATGAGGGTATTACAGAGAGATAAATCAGGATGCAAAGATCTTTTATTCTTCTACTGTGAAGAAGGCAGCTGGAGAGCTTATAGGAGCAACATTCAGCTCTGTGAGTATTTCTCAATTTCTGATGAGTTTAAGCAGGTTATAATCAAGGGCTTTTGTGGGGGGTTAGTGATCTGGCTCTAAAACAAAGAAACAGAAGAAGAGGACACACTGAACTTGTGGGCCTTGACAAGGGCTGGGGATGGAAATGGAGAAAACGTGAAGCAAACACACACAAATTTCCTTATAATGCCATATGACAAGCTAATAACTGAAATTTGATTATTATATGGTCACTGCAAACCTTGATTACTAAATTCATTTAGAAGCAACCCAAAACTGAACCTCCCTTTTTGTGGCTCCATAGCAAACAGTTTTCTGGGAAATGAGGGATTGAGGCACTAAATGACCATAGAGCAAACAGTTCTTTACTCCCAGGATGTGCCTGAAAACTTGGCCCAGGCACAAAGAGGCTGACAGAAAGTGTGAGGATAAGGAGAAACAGAGCTGAAAGCCAGCATGGGAATGACCACAGGGCAGTGTGGTTGGCTTAGCCTTCTCCTTCTGAGGTTAAAGTGTTTGTTTGTTTCAATCTGAATCAAGGTACTTGCTGGATTTTTGTTTTTGCTTTTTCGTGGCCTTGGTTTGGGTCTTCCTTGGCTCTGCAAATTATTTGATTCTCTCTGCCTTGGCAGGAACCTGGGTGACATTTATGGGCCCAATCTCATCCACAGAGGAAACAGTACTCCTCCACCTATATCCTCCCCATCGCCTCTTTTAGTCCGTCAACAAACGAATTGTGTATCTGCTCATGTCTTTGCTGAGAAAGATAGAACTGAAAGTCTAGAGTGATAATAGCAGCATCAGAGATCTTGACTCAAGAACCTTCTGAAACTGCCATTTTTTAGCTGGAATTTATGGAGGATCATACTCTGCGGCTTCCTACAGCTTAGCTCTGCTGCCTTGGGTCTCAGGCAACACTAACCCCGGTTCCCTACAAAGCTATGCCTTGAAACATTACAATCCTGCAACCACTTCTTTCTGCAGAAGAACAGTTTATCATCTTCAAAAGGGAAAGGGCTAACATTGCTTTAAAAACAGGAAAACATTCTGCTTCACAAACAAATGAATTACTTGACACTTTTGGGGGCAAAAATGTGAAACCTCCTCTTACAGTTAAAATCAAGTCCGATGCTGGCTTCAGGATTATTTGGCTCCAGGGACACCCTTGGAATTCCTAGGAAAGCAGAGGCAAGATAAGGGTAGACTTTGGTGACATCTGTGGCTGACAGGACTGACTTCCAAGGCAGGAAAGTGTCACATTTGCTCTGCTCCTTTTAAAGGACTACAGGGAGAACCCAAGAGTAAATCTATGCCAGAAACACTCTAGGGATTGGTTGACTCTCCTGGGTACTCAAAAATGAGATATGGTACATGAAACGTACAATAACCATCATAACAATCATTATCCATAGTGCAAACCCCGAGGGCCATGAGGATCCGGGGATCAACCCGACAGCTGTTACATAACTCTTTCTCAGGAAAATTCTTTTACATAAGGTATCACAGTTAGAATTAGACATGAACTCTGTCCAAGCCTAGATGTGCAACTTCAAAATTAAATAAACTTGCAAAAGAAACTTGCAAGAAAAAAGGGAAGTGTAACCAGGGGAAGATGGAAGCCAAGTGTGATTTTTAAGTTCTTTGGAGTCACTGTTAGGGACGTCAAAGGAATCCAAGAAAGGCTTCTTAAGACAGAATTTTGAGACCAGGAACAAGTTAACAGTTGGGGGGTTTGAGGGATACAGAGGATTATCCAGCAAGTGCTGATGACAACTGTCTCTCAGGTGCATGACAAGCAGCAGACGGCCCAGGAGGAGGGCCGTGGGGTCCAGGTGAACCTGTGTCGTAACCATAGATTTGTTTGCGTGGTTTCCTTGACTCCCAGAAGGTCTAGTACATAGTTACTCTTTTTTGAGCACTTTTCATCAAACACTTTATTTATATTATCCCCTCTAATGTTCCCCATAACTCTAAAAAGAAGGTATTATTTGATTCATTTTATAGATGGAATGAGACCCAGAGAGCCTCATTATGCAACTTGTGCAACTTACCCAAGGTCACATAGCCAGTTTTGTGGAGCAGGAATTTGAAACTATGTCTATTTGATTCTAAAACACATAGTCTTTACACTATATTGTCTCCCAAGGGATAATTTGACTGATTAAAATTATTAAATCTTCACATTATAGACTCTGGATCTAGCCCAGTAGGATGCTAGTTAGAGTTGCCAGATAGAATAGAATATGCCCAGTTAAATTTGAATTTCAAGTAAGCAACAAATGATATTTGTTTAATGTAAGTATGCACCATGCAATATTTGGGATATACTTATACTAAAAAAATTATTTGTTGTTTATGTGAAATTTAAATTTAACTGGGTGTCCTGTATTTTTATTTGCTAAATCTGGCAATCCTAATCCTAGTAGGCTCTCCAGATGAGAGAAAGGAAAGTCTGTGGTTTCTTACTATTTTGAAAGAATTGGGAAGTCTAAAAAACTTGATCTGAGAGAAATTCTCAAGTTTTCCTCTGCAGTTTGGCAGAGCTGGGATATGTTAGTTACTGGTGGCATGCTCTGAGAAGAATGCCCCTGTCCACCAGCAATTCCCAGGGTCCCAACTACACTTGGGAGAGTCACAAACCTTGCCTGTTTACCAGGAAAGGAGAAGGCCCACAGCATAAGAATTGGATTCAGTGAGCAGAGCAGCTGGTAGTGCGTTTCCTAAAGCCACTTAGGGCTTTGTGAGGTGAAGATTAGCAGATGCCTTCTCTATGGTTCGATGGAGAAGATCACAGGGTCAGGATCTCAAGATCCAAGGTTTAAGGCATTAGCTAGATTTCTTCATTTATTTAGTACTCATATGACAAACATATATGCACACCTCCTATATACAGGCACTGTTGCAGGTTTTGAGACTATAGAAATGACCAAAAACTGGAAAAGCAGCCTCCTGGAGCATATTCCAGTGGGGGATTAAGAAAGATCTATAGCATGAGAAGGTAACCAAGGGCCCTGACCAGGTTCACTGTCCCTGGTACCACCTGACAGATTAGTCAATGTGTTTCTATGGAAGAAGTTGAGGACTGGCAGGAGAGAATGAAAATAATTATTGGGGAGAAGAAAATAAGGATATTGGGGAAAAGAAAATAAGGATTATTGCCTCTAAGAATATCTTAGAGGCAAGGATAATAATTTAACCTGATTTTGAAAGTAATAAGAAAAAGTCGATGAACTTGAAGTTATATAATATAAGATTTGAGGGATGTGCAGTGTGTTGGAAAGAGAGAGAGATGGTTAGCATGGGTCAAAGATTGTCAGGGAGAATTGAAGCTAGAATGTTAGCAAAAATCTGTGAGTTACATAAGGAATCTTAGAAAACCAAGCTCCCAGGCGGTAGATTATGGAAGGAATTGGTTTAGGGAAAGAGATAAAGGCTACTTGGAAGTTCTTTGGAGATTTTCAGAATCTTCCTTCCCAGGACAAGTAATATCAACTTTTGTGAGAGAAAAGGAGAAAGAAGAAAAAATGTCATCCTCTAGCTTAGCATGTTTATTTTTTAAATTTATCTTTTTAATTATGTTCATTTATTTGTGCTTGAAGAATGACAATGTACACTTCTGTAGTTAAAATAAAAGTCTGTGAAAACCATATTGGATAGGTCCATGATTTGGATGGGAGAAAATGCTGAAGATTTCTGGGAAATGTGTAGATATGGATGTCTGGACATGGAGTTAAAGTACCAACTTACTACTTAATCACTCTGTTTTGACTTCCCTATTTGTGTGCGTGTGTGTGTGTGTGTGTGTGTGTGCATCTATGTCTGTATGTATTAAGATGTGTTGACTACTACATGGATGCTGGTATCCCTGGTTCAGACCTCCCCCTGTCCAGATGACTACACTGTCATCTCCCAGAACTAAGAAAGAAATCTTTGTATCACATAAGGATAAAACAAAATAAAGACTATAAATAACAAAGCCCATAAAAGTGAGTCAATAAATGTTGTCAGGTTATTTTGCAGCTGGATGGAAAAATGTGTAAAGCTTAAATAACGTATCAGTGTTGTAAAGAATGTAGATATCATTAGTCCATTTCTCTCTCTTTACTGATGGAACTCATGATCACAGAGGGGACGTACACCATTATAATAAATTCACATAGAAAGCTAATGGTGGATTTGGTAGGATAACAAGTCTACCTAGATTTTTGAGTTTTTAAATCTATCATTTGTTGGTTTACATCTCACTATCTTGAGTGCCTCTGTTGATTAATACCATGTTTTCTTTAAAATCCCTTTAGAAGATGATAACTTCTCCCCTTTTGTGTTGACACAAAATACTAAGCCTCTTTATCAAGGTGCTTTTCTTCCCGAGCTTACAGTGAATGTCTAACAAGCAATGGTCCCTGTACCTTGAAGGGTCTTCTTTTCTTCTCTCACTGTCTAAGGAGCCCAAAAGAGAACCATCAGCCACCCAAGGGCCACCAGAATGAGTGACAGCACTACTTTGGCTCCTCCACCTTCAAACCAGGGTCCCACCACCCCACGCAAAGGGCCCCCCAAGTTCAAGCAGAGGCAGACTCGCCAATTCAAGAGCAAACCTCCTAAGAAAGGTGTGAAAGGGTAAGACCAAGATGAAAAAGAACTTTCTATTGTTTTTTTTCCCCCACAAAAGTGCTTTGGTTTTGAGAAATTAATGCTCACAATATTAAGCAGTTTGGAATTTACAAAAAGTTCCACCCTATCCTCTATTTTCCTCTCTAACACAATCTTTGCTGAATCATTTCTACAGCCCTGGAAACTTTTCTCTCTCAGCTCCCAGATCTATGGCAAACATTAACATGGCAAATGGAGCTTGTCTTAATAACCTTTGACTTGACCTCCCAGGCTTTTCTTGACCGGTCCTCTTTGCCAACATATACGCTTTAATCTGGAATACTGAAACACTATCCATTTCAGAACACCGAGTTTATTTTTATGGCTTCAAATGTTATGGCTTCCTTTCTTTGTTTTTCTCTTTCTCTTTTTGGCAAAATCCTATTTATTTTTCAACACACACTCATATGTTAATTTCTTTCTGAAGCCATTATTGTCTCTCTTAGACAAACATCATTACATCCGTGTTTGCATTCTGTACATTCTGCTATCATAACTTGTATTATTTTGTGTTACATTTATTTATTTACGTCTGTTCCCTGATACTGAAAACCTTCAGAGAAAATTTGTTTGTTTTTTCCTTGGCTTCCTGAGCCTAACACAATGCCTGATACATAATAGATGCATAATAAATGCTTTTGGATAACTAAACAAATGGATGAATGAATCATGTTAATGCCTCTCATATTGCTTTCTCATTCCAATTTCTATTTTAAAAAGTAAAGCTTGACTAAATTGTCCCACTGATAATTCTTTCTGGCTCCCAGTTGTCGTAGGCTAAATATTTACAGGGGAAAAAATATCTCCCCACTGGGACATACTGTCTAAAACCCGCCTGAGTGACATTTTCTTTGCTCCCGTTCAATGCAAACAAAGGGAATTTCTCACACACAAAACTTAAACCTCTTCTTCTTCCCCCTGAGTCAGGAAGCTCTTCATGTGAGTCATTCCGGATCCTTTTGCTCTGATCACAGATCTTTTAATTTTTTCCTATAGGTTTGGAGATGACATTCCAGGCATGGAGGGGCTAGGAACAGGTGAGCCACCCAAGGATTTCTGTGACGACTTTACACTAGAAGTTTCACCTTTTAATCTACTTCAGGCCTCACGGGGCAGTTGAAAGTTACCAGAAATGCCTAAGGCAGCAGATCCTTTGAAAACCTAGAAATGTCGGGTTTTAATTTAACTTCCTAAGTATATGTGTCCCCAGATACAAAAACTCTAAACAAAAAACCAAGCTAGATCCAAAGTTTAATGAATCTTCTGGTTTTGTTAAACAACTCTTCAGTGTGTACAATGATGAATTGAAGACTTTCATGGTAGAAAGATTCTCAGAGTTAGTCTAGCCCAACTTTATTTTTCAGAAGAGAAATCTGAGACTAGAGGAATTCAGTGAGTGACAATCTGAGGCCACTGAGTGAGGTATTGGAAACAAGGGTGGGGCCTGGAGAACTTTCCACTCTGACAGGCAGACCACCTTCTTACCAACTTCCTCTTGTTACACATCCCCTGGCACCTGGAACAGGGCCCTACACACTGAAAGTGTTCAATACAATATTTTTTAATTTGCTAGAACATTGTGTTCATTGGATAATGAATGCAAGTTACTGCATATTCCTTTTTAAAAAAATTAATAGACTTTAAATAGAGCAGTTTTAGGTTTATAGAGAAATTAAGCAGAAAGCAAAGAGTTCCTACATACTCCTTCTGCCACCTTCCTCCCCCCGTACAGTACATAGTTTCTCTTATCATTAACATCTTGCGTTACTGCGGTACATTTGTTGTAACTGATGAACCAATATTGATACATCGTTATTAACTAAAGCCCATAGCTTACATTAGAGTTCATTCTTTGTGTTGTCCAGTTCTATAGTTTTTGACAAATGTGCAATGTTATATATCCACCATTATGTTTTCATACAGAATACTTTCACTACCCTAAAAATCCCATGCTCTTCCTGTTCATGCCTCCTTCCCCCCAAACTCCTGACAACCACTAATCTTTTTACTGTCTCTATAGTTTTGCCTTTTCCAGATTGTCACATAGTTGGACTCACACAGGATAGATATATAGCTTTTCCAGACTGGCTTCTTTCACTTAGCAATATTTATTCATTTTAGGTTCCTCCATGTCATTACGTGTCTTGAAAGCTCATTTCTTTTGATCACTGACTAATATTTTACTGTATGGTTGTATCACAGTTTGTTTATCCTATTGAAGGACATCTTGGTTGCTTCCAAGTTTTGGCAATTATGAATAAAGCCACTATAAACATCATTGTGGTGGTTTTTGTGTGGATGTAAGTTTTCAACTCATCCAACACACTTTTGACAAGTGGTGGCACTCGTAGCAACCAGTGTCCTTACTAGGCAATTCTCAGTGTATTTACTTTTTGCAATCAAATGGCACCGGGATCTCAGATAAATTTTTTAGCCACTTTATAAGGCTCATTTGCTATTCTTCTAAATTAACTGCTTCTGTGTTTTGGCCATGTATATATAAGACCAGCCAATTCACTTTGGACTCTGGAAGATATGCTTAACACTGCCAATATATTTGGAATAGTGGAAAGATCATTATATTGAGGGAAAGTCTGAGGTCTTTGATCTGGTTCTAGTCCCATCTCTACAACTGTGTGATTTCTTGCTAGGTATTTAATCTCTCTGGGTATCAGCCATCTTCTCTGTGACTCAGGGCTAATATCTTGTTACCTGATGCAAGGGACTGGATTAGATGAGACCTGGAGATCACTTCTCAATATGTGATTGGATATAGGCATTTCAAAATGTAAAGGAACTGGGGCTGGCCAGGTGGCGTAGTGGTTAAGTTCGTGCTCTCTGCTTTGGCAGCCAGAGTTCACAGGTTCGGATCCCGGGCACGCACCAATGCACCGCTTGTCAAGCCGTGCTGTGGTGGCGTCCCATATAAAGCAGGGGAAGATGGGCACGGATGTTAGCCCAGGGCCAGTCTTCCTCAGCAAAAAGAGGAGGATTGGCATGGATGTTAGCTCAGGGCTGATCTTCCTCAGACACACACACACACAAAATGTAAAGGAACTGAAGCGCGAGTCACAGAAGCCCATGGAACCCATCTGGATCGGGAGTGGGATGAGGAGGCTGTGCATCTCCAGAGCATGAGAATTTAAGTGCTCCTGTTTCTCATTTTATCTCTTGGCTTGAATTCCACTTCTCTTCTCCCCTTAGTGACTGAACTTCAGGGAGACCCTGTAATATCAGTGAGCTACACCCCCACAAGGTAGCCTCAGTCAAAAACCTTGGGTCACCTCCCCAAAGAGGATGAAGAAAAAAACCAACACAGATGACTGGGGAGAGCTCCTGTTCTAGGGGCATCAGAAATCTGCAGAGGATTAATTAAGCCAAATTGATCTGATCCCTGCTGGGCTGCAGGGCCATTCTAGATAACTTCCCAATTGCAAGGACAATGAATAGGAGAGAAGAGTGAAGTTTCTGCCTGCAACATGTCTTTTTGAGCAGAAGAGGCTTTCCTGAGAGTGAGGCTGGCTTACAAGTTTTTCTTCCCTCTCTCGCAGATATCACGGTGATTTGTCCCTGGGAAGCGTTCAGCCACCTGGAATTGCATGAGCTCGCTCAGTTTGGGATCATCTGAGGCACCAGAGGTTCTGCCACTCTCAACAGCATCTATGTTAACTCTGATCACTTTTGCCCCATTGATCTGCCAGAGTCTTGAAATTCAGCTGTTCGGAAGTGGTTTCTTTGGGTTACACAGTCATTTCCTATAAGTTCCTACTAAGAGTTCACTTAGTGTTAGACTCTTTCTTGCAGTATAGCTCAGCTCAGAATAGTGGATGAAAATCGACTTTTGTTAAAACATTTCAAACTTTACCACCTTTTGCTATCGGCTAGTTAGAAGTCATCAATATTTCTCTAAATTTGGTTTATTTATTAAGTCATTCAAATCTATTTTTGTTAGACATTTTTGATGAGTAGTAGACTTTTAAGATAACATTTATGTCACTCCCCTCCCCTTCTCATTCAATAAAGGAGATATTTACCTTGAATCTTATGATGAAGTTGTATTAAGTGCTATATGCAAATACCTGATGCCCTGTTCTGAGAACCAATTTAACAAAGAAGGCACAGGCATACAGGAAATAAGCATAGTGCATGCAAAAGAGCATAGGATTGAGTCAAGTCCTGATTCTGCTTTGTAACTTGGTAAATCCCACAATTTCTGGGTCTAAATTTTATTGAACTAGGTTATTCCTGAGGTCTTATACAGCTTTAAATTGCACAGCTCTAGTTGGTGGAAGACTGGAGATTTAAACTCAGGACTCTGACACTGTGAGCCTTCTTTTCAGTGCCTTGATTCATTGATTGAAAAGATTTATATAAAGTTTAGACTCAGATGCAAAGAACAGGTAGCTGAATGCTTTAAATAAAATGATGGTTTGCTTCACCCCCGAGGTTGTGTCAAATGTAATGTGCACATAACTATATTTCCCCAAGACTTTCAAAGCAATTATGTAACACGAATGCTGCCTCTGACTTGAACGCTTTAGGTACCAGCAGTATAAATTTCTTCATTTCAGTTTTGTAATCCGTGGTAAAAGATTGGAGTAAATTAACTGAAAAGAGGCAGGATGATAGAGAGGAAAGAGACTTGGGTTCTAATCCTGGCCCTACTGGTAAATTGCTCCGTAATTTTAGGCAAAGATCTCACACTTTGATCCCCCAGTTTGTCTGAATTAGATAATCTAAGGTTCGTGGTAGCAACAAATTCTATGACTTTGAGGTCCTCAGAGTTTGATCATGAGAATTAAAGGAGATCAGCAATCAAGAAATTTCTTCTGCTGCAGGCTCTGCGTGAACTATTTTGCACAAATGACCTAGTTACCTTCTGGATTGCTAGGGGGTTAGGGAGCCTGTGGATTTCCAGACAACGGGAGTTTAAAGTGCTCCTCTTCCTCATTTTAACTCTTGACCTGACTAGAATTCTGCTTGTCTTGCCTCCTTAGTGGAAAAGAAAAATTACAAAAGAAAAAGTAAGGTATAAATTCAAAAGTGGAACCATGACATGCAAGGACTCTGGTGGCAATGTGTGCTTCCTCCTCCAACAGAAGCCCCAGCCTCCACCCGTGCACCTGTTTTCCAGCGAGCTGCTCCACTGGACAGCCAGAGCCTTCGGTCTGCACTTGCTCATCCCAGTGTGTCTTTCAGTGAGGGAGGTCTGGGTTCTTCTCCAGCTGAGTGAGACTCTGGTCCACATTCAGCTGACTTTGCAAATGTTTCGCTAAACCTGAAGCAATGGCATTGACAAAACAGAATGCACCCAATGGCCATAATGGAGAAGGATCTAGAAACGATGCAAATAAAGAACTGTTAAAGGAATGAATAATATTTAGCTTAGAGGAGAAGAAGATAATTGCCAGCAATTGCCTGTAATGAACACGAAGAAGCAGACCTATGTCATGCAGTATTCTAGCATTTAGTGGTAAACTGGAATAGATGCAATTTAAAGCCCATTCAAACTGTAGAATCCTATTCTTTCTATTCCTAAATTATGACTCTATGATTTTTATTATTTCTAATAAGAAACAAACAAACAAACAAAAAAAACCCTGTTACGTAAACAGCACATATGAAAGAGATAAAGGTAAATCGTTGTTCCCGTCAGAGTCCTAGCAGCAGAGATGCCATACTCAAACAGAGTAACTGGGGAAGCTCTAACAAAGAGACTATTTTCAAAGGCTTAGCAAGGGTTAAGGAGAATCTACAAAAGATAGTACAGTGACTTTGAGCCAGCTATAGTATTGGGGCTACATTTCCAACACTAGGCCTAAAGGAACCCCAAGAGGTCTGCTCTAACTGTAAGAAAGGACCCCCTCAGAGGGCTGTGGCCTTCACTAGAGGGACACAGCTAACCCACAGTGATCCCGTGGGCAACCAGGAGGAGGTGGGGGTGGGACAATAAATACCCCAATGTTGTTCTTCTCCCATTCTTTACTCTCCCGTCGATGCCTCCCGTTGGATAAACCCAACCGGAAGGCAGAGGGCAAAGGAGCCCATTGACGTGTCAGTAAAGTTCACCTCCAACAGCAAAGTTCAGGTGGAGGAGGCTGGAGAGCAGATGTGAAGGGGCAACTGGGAAAGATTCAGCATAGCAATAGTATCAAAGAACAGGTACAATGTGTCAACCAGTGATTAGTAGTTAGAGTTGGAAAATAGCATGGATATGTTTAAAACTTCCAAAGGTGATTCTGACGCAAAAACCACTGAAATGAAGGAAGGGCAGCATTAAATAGGAAGAACAAATAGAAAGAATACAGTAGACAAAAGGGAACAACTGCAGAAGGAAATTATCACAGAATTTAAGGGTTTAGAGGATTTTTTGAAATATTCTGATACTTTCCTGATAATAAGAACTGCTGAGAATCTCTTGTTAAAAACACAAAATTTGGGCCCCACTCCAGATTTTCTGAATAAAAATCTCCAAGGGAGAGATCTTGGAATCTCTATTTTTTGCGCACGCGTGTGTGAGGAAGATTAGCTCGGAGCTAACATCTGTAGCCAATCCTCCTCTTTTTGCTGAGGAAGATTGGCCCTGGGCTAACATCCGTGCCCATCCTCCTCTACTTTACATGGTACGCGGCCACAGCACGGCTTGACAAGTGATGTGAAGATCCGTGCCTGGGATCCGAATCTGCGGACCCCAGCCACTGAAGTGGAGCGCATGAACTTAACTACTACGCCACCAGGCCGGCCCCTGGGAATCTGTATTTTTAATAAGGGCCCCAGGTGATTCCTATATTTGTGCCAGTTTGAAAACACTGATGTGGTCCAAGCCTACATTTTAAACATTAGGAATTGACTAATTCTTAACTTGTTACCACTCAGTGACTGATTTAACTAATTCCACTTGCCCCCAATAACATATGTAATACATGTGAGAACACACAGATTCGTGTGTTCTGAATCTGAGACTGTTTTGTTGACTGATACTATAGACATGACTCACCACTCCACACCTAACCCAGCTAAATGCTTCTTCAACTGCAGACAACGTCAGAGAGTTCAGAATATAAGTGTTGGCCTGAAGCAGTTCCAAGAAGTATAGGGCCAACAGGCACCATTATTCCCAGGGCCGACCTCTTGCCATTGCCTCACATGACCACCCTCCTTCCGTGGCCTGTGTCACTCCCTGTCCTCATCTGCATCCTCTGATTGGAGTAGGGGGGACCAGGGAGGGAGAGAGCTTTGTCTCAGCAGGTGGTGGCAGTGACCATCACTTAGCTTCCACCTCTTTCCTGTTTGTTCACACCCTTGGGTAGAAATTGGGGTTGATGGTGCTGATGATATGGGCATCGACTCCCGCTCTAGAGCTCAGGAGCGTTGCAGCCAGAGCAGAAAACAGTACACAAGGAGAAAATGCTCCTCTGGAGTGCCCTATCTTAGGCAAATATACACAATCGTTATTAAATAATTGCCACCATGCAGCTGACTTCTACTTTTTCTCTTTGCACAATGAGAAAAGCAAGAATCACCAAAAAACTGAAGAAAGGAGGGAGAGTCTTTTCTCATCAACTAAGAAAGTAAAGGGAAAACACATGTAAACAAGAGTAATCAATAAAACCAATATTTAACATGAGGAAAAATGATCACACAAGACCAAACAACATAAAAACTAATATTCCGAGAACTAAACAAATGTGACACTGAATGTTTTAAAGAGAAAAGAAGAAAAGGACTTGTGTTTCATAAAAGGCTAGAGGGAAAGGCTTATACAGGCCGCAAATATTGTGTGTATGTATAAACTAGCATAGTGCATTTTGCAACTCTAAATGAGTTGTTTGACTTTCTTCTTACTTCTTGAGGGCAGAGTCAGATTGATGAAAACTGAAATTTAAAAGCAAGAATCATAAACTGACTGTCCACATCAGCCACACCATCTTTTTGTGGCAAAATAATCAGGAGGCCTAGATTTTGCCTGGCTCTGCTGCACAGCACTGCCAGATAATCAGCTAATTCACTTATCTTCTTTAGGCTCAATATTTGAGGAAAAAAGCAAGGATATTGGACTAAAGGATCACCAAGACCCCTTTCGGCATAAAAATTCTAAAAACCAAGTAATCTAAACATATTTCAAACATGAACAAACCATTCCCTTTATGGCCGGAAGTTCAAAGGCCCTGAGCCTCAGTTTCCAGTTCCTTTCAGAATGAGTGTTCAGCCACTTTCTTTTCACATTTCTCCTGGGCCTTGTAATCAAATCAAATCATGTCTAGTGCTGCCACCTGCTGTAATGAAGGAACACTTCATGAACATGGAAGATGTAACCGTTTCTAGCAGAAGACTTTTAAATCTATTGAGCTAATTCTGAATTCGTTCCCTCTCTGACCAATTTAAACTGTTGTACTCCTTGGCTGTGGAAAAGTAATCTATGCACAAGATAGACATCGAAAGGGTGTAAACGTGAACACAGCACAAGGTAAGTCACATTTCCACCCCATGCCCTGTGTCCCAATCCACTTCTCAGTTGATCCCTGTTAGTTGCTGTGAATGCTTTCAGAGAGAATCTGCACATAGGCATGCTCCTGTATATACAATTTTTCTTTGCACAATGATAACATGCTATAGTCACTGTTCTATACATTGCTTTTCATTTATTTTGTCTTGGAGATTGCTCCCTGTCTGTACATTTTGGTCTACTTCATAGGTTCCATTTGTATGATTGAAATTTGATTTGTTTATCCAGGCTCATACTGATGAACATTTTGGATGCT